ATCATCCAGCAGCAGCATGACTATCAGTAAAGGTGATTGTTTTGTAAGGAAGAACACAGGTCCACTTGGAATGTTCCATGATTGGTACACTTGCAGAGATATTCTTCCACCTTTGTGTAGGTAGTAGCAGAAAATAAAATGAGTTGGATTGCTACAGATTAGTTTTCTGCCTTTTTTTTCATACCATTAGTCATATTCAACCTATTCTCCTGAAGTAGTTTGGAATCCTCTGCATGTTCCCAGAGAGGCATCTGAGGTATTGGCATGGAGATGGGTCACATCTGTGTGCCTTGTGTGGCCTGCAAGACAGAGGCTGTGAGTCCAGGCCACTGGGAAAATGCTCATGTCCCCCATGCATTATGTTCATGAGAAGTCAGGGGGATGGCAAACTGCCAGTGTAAGTGATTTTAAATGAAGCATGTTGAAGATGGAACTGCTGAATCAGTTAATCCTGTCGTGCTGAATACAAACCTCCCCATCCCAGCTGCAGAGCTGCTCCTCATGTTCTCTTGCATAACGTTAAGACATGCCTTCATCCATGAGCTGACAGACATTGCTCAAGGTCATATCCAAAGTGAATGCATCCCCAGGTTCTTATCAAATCGATGAGGACAGAGGTGGCAGTCAGAGCAGAGAGTGAAAACCTTGCTGATCAGCTGAAAGGGATCAGGGAAATAACATTCTGATTATTTAAAATAACACTGATCTTCTGTCAAGGACACAGTCCTTCCTGTCATCTGCAGACGTGGTTTCTTCCAAGCCATGGCATGGAGGAAATGGTTTGTTTCTAGCTAGCAAAAATTCAGGGGGTATTTGTCTGCTGCATGTGTAGTGCTGCAGAAAAGCTGCTGACCATTTTTGATGCAATTCTGGATTTCCATTTGTGAGGCTTCTTTTTTTTTTTTTTTTCTCTAGAAGCTTTATTCTTATTTCAGTATGTATTTAGTAGCTGCATAACTAGGTTGGGAAGCTCTAAGTGAGGGTGGTGTCTGTTCCCTTTCTTTCATCTGCTGCTTAGAGAGCTGAAGGTGGGTAGCAGACAGCCACAGAATATGGAGTATATTTGGGTTGCACTAGTGAGTAAAAAATAGTTAAAATTCCAAGTGGTTTAATGCCACCTCAGCAACTCCTAGTGACTGCTGTTGCTGGACTGTTGGATCCAATATTTCAAGGTTTTGAATATAATATCTTTCTGATTATGTATAAACATCTTTTGTTTTTATCACATTTCTGTGCAGAAATAGCAACCAGATTATTGAAATGAGTGTAGTTGGGTTTTTTTTCTAAAAAAAGCATTCTTCAGAGGTAGGCAAAGATTTGTGATCAGTGGATGGGCAAAGAAACATCTTGTGCTTTTTTTTTCCCCCTGGAACAGTTTGACAAGAAGCATATGATGATGTGCAGGCTGCTTTCTCATATGCCTAACACATTTTAGGTTTTCTTTTCCACCTTCATGGATCTAGTACAAAGAGTTCCATCATAAAGTTAGTAACACAGCAATTTATATTAGCTCCCCACAGCAATATTGAACTACCTGTGCCTGATTCTTCCCACTGCTGCCCTGGGTCTGACTACTGTCAGAAGTTCATGCTGGGGAAATCAGCTCAGTAATTAGGCTGGATTTAATTTTTATGTTTAAAAAGTCAGAAATAGTCTTTTAATTTGTTAGATTGCTTTATCTTAATATATGAAATCCATTAGGGTTATGCTGTGTTGTTGAATGATTAATGACAGCATGCTGGTGGAAGTAAAGCCAAAACCTATGGTCATATCTTTTCCCTTTGTTGCATGCATCAGAACACAGTAGTTGGCAATGAAGCAATGTTAGCCTTGTAATAAAAGCTGCATGATGGAAGGGGTTTACATTTTTATACTGCAATACTTTAATATGGAACTCAAGATAGGAGAGGAGTTTTTTTACTACTTCACATTCATGTTGACAGAACCCTGCTGCCAAAACTGAGAATTCAAATTTTTGACTCCTTTTGTCATTGCAGTTTCTGACTCTCAGGGCTCTGTCACAAACAAAATGCAGATTTTTTTCAATGCTTTTTCAACTAATATACACAAGTATATTCTGTTTGTTTTCTGTAGGAGAGGAGTTTTTTTACTACTTCACATTCATGTTGACAGAACCCTGCTGCCAAAACTGAGAATACAAATCCTTTTGTCATTGCAGTTTCTAACTCTCAGGGCTCTGTCACAGACAAAATGCAGGTTTTTTTTCAATGCTTTTTCAGCCAATATACACAAGTATATTCTGTTTTCTGTTTACTACTTACCATTATCTAAGGATGTGCTGTAACTGAGATAAATGCTATGTAAATAGGCAAATTGGACATCTTCATCTTTTGGTGTTGTGCCTTTCTTCACCATCCTGTAAAGAGGGTAATGAGAGTGAGAATTCTTTCAACTGAGAATACTCAAGAGCAGATTTTTAGGGAAATTTAGGTACCCAACTTGAGTTTGAAATTGAGGAAATGAGGGAGCTGAAAAATGCTTTAAACCCATACAATTTCTGCCTTTTTTTTCCTTAATTATAAGGTGTGGTGTTCATATGAGGTGCAGGGAAATGATGGTGTTGAAAAATCTTATCCCAAAGGAAGGGATTTTCCCATCTATTGTCTTTTAATACCATTTGAGCATCAGGGGCATAATCTCTTCTTTGAGTTTTGCCTCTGTTAGCTGGGCAGCCATTTCATCTCAGCTCTGTAGTGGAACAGAATCCAGCTTGTTCTACTCTTTTTCTGACAGTTGTATTGCTCCATAGCTGGAGGGAAGTCCCTTTGCACCACAGGCTGTTCTAAAGTCTGACTGAAAAGCACTTAGGTTTGTAGTGCCCAATGTGAAAGATCTTTGAGAGGCCAGGAGCTGTTATGAAATCCTTTACACAATAAGTTAAACCAAACATCATAGGATTTGTGGAATAGTATTTACTTACTGTGTTTCACTTCTGAAATATGTCCTTGAAATGTTTTTTTTTGGTTTTTTTTCCCCCCCTCTTGATTTTTAGCATACATAAAAGGTGGGTGGATACTGCGAAAAGCCTGGAAAATTTACAATAAGTGCTACACGGACATTAATACACTTCAGGAAATCTATCAGAAGAAAACAACTCAGGAATCCTTGACTTCTGATGCTGCAAATGATAATCATATTGCTGCAGAAGGTGTAACGGAGGATTCGCTAAACAGACTGAAAGGTGCTGTTAGCTTTGGATATGGACTTTTTCATCTTTGCATATCCATGGTGCCCCCAAACCTGCTCAAAATCATCAACCTGCTGGGTTTTCCTGGAGACCGCCTACAGGGGCTTTCCTCACTGATGTATGCAAGTGAAAGTAAGGACATGAAGGCCCCTTTAGCTACGTGAGTAGCTATATTGAAATGCTTTGGTAGATAACTTAGTACTAAGAGTAAGTAACTGGAAAAAAGTCAAAACCAAAGAGTCGTGTTGCTTTAACGGAAACAACAGCAGGTAAAAGAAACTTGTAGTTTGTTTAACATGCCTTGATGTAGTAAATTCATCACTTACTAGGGTATGAGATCTCTCTGCTGTTAGGTGTTTACATGTTTGTGCCAGTATTTTGCTGTATGCTTCAGTACCTGCTATTATTATGTCTAGTAATTTGTATGCCAGCTGAGTAAATAAATTACCCCCTGAAGGCTGAGTGAATTTACCTCAGTTCCATTCTCCATAATGGAGAGCATACTGTTTTGTGTGAGTCAGTGATCTTGCTTAGCTATTTATCCTTACTATTAGCCAAAGAGCTTTTCCAGTTTATTTAATTTAGTATCAGAGTAAAACAGGATGTTCCCTTAGAGTCTTTGTAGAGGATTATTTTTTGTGTACTCCTTTTTTCCCAAGCCTTCCTATTGCATTCAGGTTGTCTTTATGAGGTGAAGGGTTAGCCAGACTTAATTTAAACTGCCCTTATAATAGAATAATAAACCTATTTATCTCCAAATTAATGCTTTTATTACTGGACCTACTGGAAGTGCCATCAGATGTCACTTTTGGAAGACTATCAGCAGAGCTGAAGTCTCTTTTGCTTGAGGGGAGGAACTGGGTTTCTGATTAGTTAAGAAAGCTTAAGAGTAAATATTCCAGTTGATTTTTTAGTTTCTCTTTTCTGGGGAAAAAAAAAAGTGGTATTTTTTGGGATGTTCCCTGCTTCAGATGATCCTAGAAATCTTTGTGCCCTGCCCCTGTTTCTAGGAGAGACATAGATCATGTAGATGTCTGCTGTTCTGGACAGCAGATGTATTTCTTTTTGACACTGATTTCAAGTGTCTCTGCTGATCTGTGTTTAGTTCTGTTATTGGTGTTTGGTTTGGGCTTTTTTTCCCCTCCTCTATTGAACAGTTAGTTTTCAGAGTTTTTTCTGTGAACTTTTATTTTTAAAAACCTACAGTTCTAAAAGCTTGACTGCTTGAATGCCATGAACTTGACTGTTAATTTACCTTTGGATGAGTGCAGTGAATTGCATGTTGAGTTTAGGAGTACTTACATGTATGGCAATAGTATTGTTTGTTTTAAGGCCAGGTTGTATAAGTTTAACATCTTTTTGTGTCTTTCAGAATCAATTAAAAAATTTGCATGTGTAGAAAGTTATCTATAAACTTCTGTGTGCAAGCTGTAATCCTTTTTACTCCTCTTTCTTCCAGGTTAGCTCTGTTGTGGTACCACACAGTTGTTCGGCCCTTTTTTGCCCTTGATGGCAGTGATAACAAAGCAGGCTTGAAAGAGGCAAAAGAAATCCTTGCCAAAAAAGAATCTGCTTATCCCAATTCTTCTCTGTTCATGTTCTTCAAGGGAAGGATACAACGATTAGAGGTATTGCATGTTTGCTTCCCTTTGACTCATTTCTCCTCCAGGACTTTTGTGGTTTTGTATTTTTTCACATAAACTGTGCCCTTTTTGTGTGTAACTAAAGATACAGATGCATGGAAAGGTAAGTAAGAAGAGAGGACAAACTCCTTCCTGGTTTCAAGTTCACATGCCCAACCTGCTCTTTCACTACTTCTCTCTGAGCAGCACTCAGAAATTCTATTTTAGCCACTTGGTACATTTGTAACTCTATGCTAGAAGGAAGTACTTCTGGTCACTCATGGCTTTCTTGTGGTGTAGACAGCTATTTCAGTTTTGCTTGTAAAGCTAAAATCCAAGTGTTCTCTGCTGAGTGTATAGCATTTATATTTGCCTTTTCCTTTTATGCATTGCTCATACTAATTCTCTGCAATAATTTCCCCCAAATAACTGTCTTTGCTTTTAAGAAGTCAAACCAGGATGTTTTCCATTGCTGAGGGTGAGCACTGACCCAAGTAGAAATTTGTTTGTGCACTCTGCTGTTGCAGAGTATTGTTCAAACACTGCAGCAGCCTTGTGGATTTTGGCCAAGTTATTCTTTAAGACTCTCTGATAATCCAAGGTGGTGGGAAATACTTTAAACTACTCAACTCCTAGCTGCTGCTTTTATCAGACCAGGCTATTTCCAGAGCAGTTACATTAGCAAGAAAACCCAACACAAAAGCACAAACCCAGAATGTTCAAACTCATCATAAGAGCTAATCCAGCTCTTAATGTTGGTCATTCTTTGCTAGGATTTTGCAGAGAACTCTCAAATACAGTTTAATATTTTGAGGGAGGTAGGAACAGTGACAGAACAGGACAAGCTTCAGTGGTCTATCAGATTTTGCAGGTGAATTCTTGCATGGGATTTGGATGGTTTTCTTTCTTTGCTGTCTTTCTGAGAGCAACAGTGCATTTGGGGAATGACACAGTCACAGACAAGCTGTCAGTCTTTGGGAAGTGTTACTGAGTGAGAAGAATTTTAATGGTCTTTGCCCACTTACATCCATATTCCATTCTTATGCTAAAAATCAGATTTGTTAGGAATTACTAGACAATTAGTGCAAGTGTGGTTAAAAATGTAAACCTGTTGGTTGCCAGAAGATGACAGTATTTAGATCTTTTTTTCTTCACATTTAGTGTCATGAGGAATAGAATTCAGCTGATTCTTCTGACTTTCAGGGCAGGCTAGGACAGAAGTGTAAACAGAAGTTTTCAATGAACTAAGTATAAAAATTGAATTGTACATAGGTGAAAGATGGCTTAGATGTTTTTCCACAGAGGAGCTTGGGTGTTCTGGAAGTACAGGTTAGTAATGGACACTGTAGGCTTTGTCCCAGAGCCTATGAGCACTCAGTCCATCAGATTTTCTTCACAGCTTGTGGTCCTGCATACTTTTTGTGTCACTTTGAGCAGATAGTGTAAACATGGACCATGAAATTATCTTTCAGCTTTTTTTCCCAGATACATGTTTTTGAGAAATGAAGTCTGTAAGGGTTTGGAGACTCTTGAAATGAAGGGATAGGAGAGGAGGAGGATATGGGGAAGCTGGAATGAGAGAGCACTAGAAAGTTAAAGGTTGTGCTGGTAGGCTGATTACATGTCTTTTTTTTGTCAGACAGTAGGTTAAGAGAGAGGGTATTAAAAGTAGCTTTTCTCTTGACTTTTTACATAATTCACTTTGATGGGTGTAACTATTGCTGTGCTGGATTTGTGCAGCTGGAGCACCCATCACACTCCCAGTTATTCCTGTGTCAATGTCTCACTGCTTCTGTCTTGGAAATACTTTGCCCTGAGGTGGATAAGGGTTCTAGCTGTGCCCATGGGCCTTCCTTATTGCTGTGAAAATGTTGCCATCTGTTTTCTAAATGTATACTAATATTGTAACGATGTTAAAAAGTAGCAATTTACTTTGGAAACTGATGTAGACTGCTCAAATGTGGTTAGTGGCCTGTAGTGACAGCTGGAGATGGTAATAGCATGGGAGAGGGCAGAGTGAAAATGGGATGTCTGAATCTTATGTAATTCTGCTGTTCAGCTTGCAGTTTTGCTTTCTCTTTTTGTTTTTCTCCTAATCAGCAACACTTCTTAAAAAATCTCCATCTATTTTTTAAAATGATATAAGTTACCCCACTCAGAAATAGTCAAATGGATAGAAATCTTGGGATCAGTGATCTCATTCTTATTTAGGGCTGGGGGTGTGTGATATGGAAAAGCAGATGGAGGGCAGGAGTAATAGTAAGCATTGAAAAGTCTTAAATAAATTTTCTGGCATAAAGTCACAGTGATGTCTTAAGTAAAGAAATTTCCAGAGCTTGTGCAATGTCCAGGGTGTGTGTGTGTTTATATATATATTTCTTTTAATCTTAAGAATATCAATTTCGAGTGTCAGCCATGACTTTATACTCACAAATTCCTGTGACTTTTTAATTCTCTTTATTCTCTAAACCAGTAAACAGTAATTATTTTACAAATTAACAGAAGATAGTAGAATTAAAAGCAGAAATTAATATTCCAGCATACTGTCACGAGCCCTGGAGGTGACTGAAACTTTAATCATTAATGAATGACTCTGAAACATAATTACTGAGCTTGATGCTTAGGCAAATGTTAAAACACTTGAGAGATCTAGAGAGAAAAATGAATGAGAGGAGATTGAATACACAAAGAACTGGATGTGGGCATGACTAGGTGGTCAGGATTTCATGTGCTGCCCCAGGCTGGCGTGTGGCATTGCAGATGATTTAATTGCCATTAGTCACTGTGTGGAACAACAGGCCCTACAAAAAAGATATTTGAAAAATAAAAATATAAATGTTTGTTTTTAGGAAGACAAAATAACAACAGACTAAATATTTGTGTGTGTTTTTTTTATTTCTCAGAAGCTCTTGAAACAGGTTTACTGAACTTCTAAAATTCTTAGCACAAAGATCAAGTTTTAAGCTGACTTTTTTTTTTTCTGTAAGAAAAAAAAATGGATTTTTCCATGCTGGTGTGTAGGAATGATGCAGCATCACTAGAGCCACGTGTATCTTTGTGTAGATGGCAGGTTTGTGTTTTCAACTGTTTGTTACATGCTTAGCAAGGAGAGAGTGGCTTAAAGATTGTCACTCTATAAATTATCATAATTTATGTTTATTGTTATAGAGAAGGCCCATGCCAGACTGGAGGATTTGGAAATGAAGGTAGTCAAAAGAGATGTTTCTCACAGAGCTGTCAGACTTTCTGCTAAGCTCTTGGGACCTAATGATTTTATTTTATTTTTTTTTATCTTACATGCCATGCAGCATTTATGAATTCTCTTTCAAACTTGCTTAAAGTGGTTACCATTGAAAAAGGTAAAATAGTTGAAAATAACTAAAATGAAACTTTAAAGATACCTGTTGTTGTGGTTTATACTCAGCTGGGAGCTGAGCCCCACGTGGCCACTTGGTTCCCCCTTCACCTCCAAAATGGGAAGGAGAACAGGGAGGAAAAAAAAACCCCAAACCCATGGGTTGAGAATTTCATATAGCAATGCAAAAGGAGAAGTAGCAGCAGTAAGAGCAATAAAACAGCACAACAGGAGTGAGAGAGAAGGAACCAAACCAGGACTCCTGTGTTGTGCAGAAAGCCAAACTTTATTGGCAGATGCCAAAAATAGGATTTTTTAAGGGGGGAATGAGTCATAAGAGTAGACATGAGATTACTTAAAAGCTTGCTGCACAAAACCAGTTAATTTTGGGCTTAAAAAAATCCAAGGCTTTATTACTTCTATTTGCTGTTAAGGTTGAGAGATGATCTGAACTGGCTGTAAGTTATTGGTGATAGTTATTACACTGTTAAACTCCTCTACTATCCCTCTCCCTTCTTTTTTAACTCTGCAGTGCTTCACATTTCTGGTTTTTATATGACTTTTAGAGTGCAGGTTCCTTACTGCATGTTTTAATTCTTACTGTTGCACATGGTGGAACTCTTCATTCTTAATTTTCATCTCAATCCACATCTGAAAAAGCAGAGAAGGGGGAAGCTGGCTAATGGAATTGCCTTGTGAAATTGGTATGTGAATTAATATTAGCCCTTCTCTTTCAAACTGTTTAGCTCATTTAAAATAATCTAGAGTTTCAAAAGAATTCTGAGGTTTTCCTTTCAGTGGTGTGTTGTGCCTCTTTGATCAAACCAGAGGCTGCAACCTCTAAGACACTTCAGGTTTTTTTAACCATAGTTATTTTTAGCTACCTATTAACAGAAATCTAAATATTTTCTTCATCATAATCAAATTGTCTGAAATATAAAGTTTTATTGATATCTGATTTATTTTTTTTTCCCCTTCTTTTACTGTTATTAGTGTCAAATCAACAGTGCCTTGACATCATTTCATACTGCTTTGGAACTTGCCACAGACCAAAGGGAGATTCAACACGTCTGCTTGTATGAAATAGGTAAGCTGGGCATGTTTGTACTATAAATAACTCACTTTCAAGTTTAGACTAGCAACTTCAATAAAAAAAGATTATTTTTGTTAGTATTTAAAAAGATATTTTAGAATACTGGCCTTTGTCATCTTCTACCATACCAGGTTATGGTAACAAACCTGTCCTCTTGTTTGGGCAAGTAGGATTCAACAATTTTTTCATAATTTTCAAGGTTTTTTTTTTTTCAAATACAAAGTGCTGCAAAATCAGAGCAGGCTACAGAATCCAGGACAAACTTGCTCACCTGCAGAATATCATTTAAAATGAAAAAATAATTTGATTTGTCTGTGGAATTATCTTTTTTATGCTAAAAAAATAATCAATATATTGAAACTTTGGTGTTTGCAGCACCTATATGCTATGTGTTCTTAATTTGTGTACAAGTCTTAAGAGTGCTTCAAACTTTACATGTGTCTCCTTGAGAGATCTTGTCACAGTGGGGAAGAATAAGGGAGCAAGTAGGAGGTTTAAGTTTCAACATCCTACAAAATATACTATTTAAACTTTAAAAAAAAAAGCTTTTGGGTCTGTACAGGTTTGTTGTTGTTCTGAAGTGGGTTGTTCTGTATGGAATTTTAGAATTCAGCATTTCCCAGTAAATTTAAGCCAGGCTTTACATCTATGTCATTGATTTGCTCTTAATTTTTCCAGTTCTTGGTGTGACTGTTAAACTAGCTCCAGCTCTCAGAACAGGCTGTGTGTTTCAGTGATGTCCCCACCAAGCATGAATCCCTTTGCTTTCTCTGAAGTTCACTTGGTCTTGTCTTTAGGTTGGTGCAGCATGATAGAGATGAATTTCAAAGATGCATTTGAATCCTTTGAAAGGCTTAAAAATGAATCCAGGTGGTCCCAGTGCTACTATGCTTATTTAACAGCAGGTGAGTGTATGGAGGATGTTGGGTAAGTGATCAATCAGTGATGTGATGAGGTTTTGGGAGAATTACTAGTGCACATCATGTTTTCCACACTGCCTGCTGCTTATTCATCTTTCTGCCAGATTTGACTTACATAATTTTGTTTGTTTCTGTAATGTACTCATGGTTGTAGGCACATGCATGTGCCTAAGTGCTCTCTCTCTGTTCTAGATGTAGATAAAATTATGGTCAAGATGGTGACAAGTTAGATAAGTGTATTGCAGAGCTTTAGTGACTAAATCCTTAGGGGTGGGGTGGGATTAATTCCTTTAATGGGTACAAAAGCAGCAGGACCCAGGTTTAAAACCTGCCTGCAAGCTCCCCTGCACCTTCTTCTGGCTGGACTTAGATCTGAGAATCATTTAGGCTGGTAAAGACCCTTATCATTTTACTGATGATCACAGAGGGTACCTGGGAGGGTTGGGATTTGCATGTCTGTCAAATCTGCAGTCTGGAACCTTCCTTGGAGTGCAGTTTTTTCCTGTGACTGTATGATAGCTCTTTGTGATTTTTCCTATTTCACATCCCAGCAGTGTTAACACATTCTTGTCTTGGTGTTTTCAGTGTGTCAAGGAGCCACTGGTGATGTCAATGGTGCTCAGAATGTGTTCAAGGAAGTCCAGAAGCTTTTCAAAAGAAAAAACAACCAGATTGAACAATTTTCAGTGAAAAAGGTTTGGTTTAGCATAGGCTGGCTTGTTTCAGTACAGTAATTACACTTGTTTTTTACAACTTTTCTTTGATTCTTCTTGAGTATTTATTTTTGAAGGATTTATGTTTTCTGCTGTGTTGCTTCTGTAGAATTAGTGGGAAGGGTTTAGGTGGAAAAATAGTGTCATGTATTTTAAGGACCTAGCAAAAGAAATGTGAATTAGCTCTTCACTTTACAACTAAGGCAGTTATTAAAGCTAAAAATACATGATACTGTGGTTGCTTTGGTAATTTTCCTTCTGGCTTTGCCTTTCTTACTCCTTTTTATCTTGTTTGTCAAAGCCTTAATTCTTTTTGAAAGGTAGGAATTGTCTGGGCAATATCTCCCAGCTGATGATTTTGCAGATGTTCCTGTTTCAGCACCCAGATTGTGAAATACAGCAAAACAAATCAGGCTGCAGTCCAGGGAAGCTCCAATTTTGATCAGTGTATAAGCCCTTAAATTGAGATTTTGCTTTTTTGTCTTGAAGTCTTAAGTTACACTGTCTTTATTTTTGTAAATTTGGGTGCTTTCATGAAACATGATTACTGTTAGTGATGTATTGTTTGTGAATATTATGTTCCCTTGAAAAGGCAGATGACAGATCTCCCTTCCCTCTCTCTCCCTGCTTTGAAGGCAGATAGATTTAGGAAACAACTGCCCACCAAAGAGCTCTGTGTCCTGGCATCTATTGAAGTGTTGTACTTATGGAAAGCCCTTCCAAACTGTTCCCTCTCAAACTTACAGCACATGAGCCAAGGTATGGTATGGTTCCTTGACTGATTTATTCACTTCTTTAAAATGCAGAGTATCATTTTCTTCTGTTGTGTGGAATAGCTGATTGTTGTAGCATGAAAATTTAAAGCTCTGTGTGTGTTACACAGATTTTTAGTGCTCCTCCCTCCATCCATCTTGGCATTCTGCAAACAGTTTCATGTTATTACTTGCTCATTTAGAAAAGAAAACAAAAATTCTGCTACCAAGAATGACCTTTTTTTCTGTAATTGTGAAATTTCTAGCTTAATTTAAGAATAATGAAAACTTTCAGTCTTTGAGAGTCAGGACTGGTTGTAGGGTTTTTTCTGTTTCTAATTTAAAATTTGTCCACTTAAGTTGCCTTATGGCAGTGGGTTGCATTCAGATCCCTAGTTTTCCAGTCCCAAAAGATAATGGTGAAGGCTTTAAAATTAGATTTACTTGCATAAAAATAAAGGAGTTCATTTTGCCTCCACGTGTATCTCTGTAAGTGAAGTGCTGAGTAACCTGAGAGTTGCAATACAAGGGAGAGTAGACAGCCTCCTGTGTTGTGTAACATCCAAATGCTTCATGCAGCCAACTCTTACATTCAGAGGTGGCTTGTTTGGGTTGTGGATTGCTGTGAATGCAGAGCTAGTGCAGATCTGGCAGGGTTGATGCACTGAGGCAGAATGTGAAGTGGAAGGAGTTCTGCTGCTCCAGGCACTGCAGCCCAGCTCCTTTTGAAGGGGATTAAAAGCACTGCAGGGCTCCCTGTACCTCTCTGGAGGCACCAGTGCAGACAAGCACAAATGGCTCCTCGTGGAACGAGCCTTTATTTACAGAGCTGCTGCTAATGAGCCTGGTCAAAGTGGAGCCTGATTCATCTAGAGATGATTACATGCATCATGATTTAATTCTTCCCAGCAACAGAACGCCACTCAGCTGGGGCACAGTCTGTCCCTGGGTGGGGGACCAGCCATGGTCTGGCAAATAAGCCTTCTCTTCTCGTCAGCACTGAGAATTGCTATGCCAAAATACCCTAGTCTGGGGTTTTTTT